GGACCGTGTTTGCATATGGTGTTCCTAGTCGAGTCACGATTCACCTGGGACTGATAGAATGTATTTAAGTTTCAAAACATGAGTACTGCGTCCTAAAAAAGCTTTCGTAGGTTTTACCACCCTCAGAGAACGGTTGCTTCCGGTGGTGTCGCCTTGTATGATTTGTAACCTTGCAACATATCAAAAAAATAGTTCAATCGTCTGTCCAAATTTATTATCAAGTTGGTGTGTCTGTCATTTGAAACTTGATAAAATTGCGAATGAATCATTAAGTGTCATTGTTTCATTATTTCTGGCCTTGTATGGGTTTTGCAGTTTGTCTCATCTGCGGTGCCCTTTTTAAAATCACATAACTGGTCGTATTACTGACATCAATATATTATATTACCATACAGATTAGCGATGAGCGAGTACATATTCATGTGCATCTGTTCACCACTACAACTAACTCCGAATGGAATTTTATATAAATTACAAAAATATCCCCGTCCAAGTATCAATATTTCACTAGATTGCCCCTGAACCTTCTCACACCGGAAGAGATGCTTATTAATTATTTTTAGTTCTTTTAAAATCATCTTTTTAGTAATGTTTAACAAACCATGATATGATATTATTTTTGTTGAATAATAATGATTAGGACTGAGTCCACTCCCCAGCATTGCTCTGTATATTACTGGTACGCGGGAATCGATGTGTGTTTGGATTTTTGGTAAAGGTAAAACAACCTCCAGCAGCATGCCTTGTAAATAACTGTGTATCCGTGCTAAAGTATAGTCTTTTTTTAGAACATAAATGGAGTCTTTGTTGTTATGACATTCCTAATAAAAACCATCAGTGACTACAGTAATCTATTTTTCACTTCAAGCCAAGAGAGACATTCATGCATTCTAAAAATGTTTGTTCTCATCCCACAAGAAAGAAGTACACATGCTGCTTTATTCTGAACCAACTGTAATAATCCTCTATTATCAGTCACATCCAGAGAGGCTTTGCAAAAAATAATTTGAATCTCATTTGATTCATTTTAAGTTT